AAGTTAGTAAGATGATACCAGAAAAGGCACGTCACAATACCTGAAGTGCTAAGTTAGTAATATGATACCAGAAAAGTCACATCGCAATTCCGAAAGTGCTAAGTTAATAAGATGATACCAGAAAAGTCACTTCACAGTACCGGAATTGCCAGGTTAGTAAGATGATACCAGAAATGTCACGCCGCAGTTCCTGAATTGCTAAGTTAGTAAGATGATACCAGAAAAGACACATAACAATTCCCAATCTGCTAGGTTAGTAAGATGATACCAGAAAACACGTCGCATTTCCGGGTTTGCTAACTTAGTAAGACGATAGCAGAAAACACATGTCACAATTCCGAAGTTGCTAAGTTAGTCAAACCGGAAAACGCACGTTTCCGGAAATATCACTAACAAAGTTGGTTTTGTAATATTAAAAACATTGTAGAAATTTTTTGGTCAGGTTTGCACTGATGATGCTGCACGTGCTTCATCAGGCATCCGTCTAGTATGTCTCCACCGAGTTTCAGACCTGCAGCTCGTACGGCTGGGCCGTTACTGCCCCTCATGTTCGTTTGCGGCCTACTCTCTCATATGTCCCCATTGACTTGCATTGCCCAACTTAGCAAATTCTACAGCCCACTATAGCTCTTTGGTAAGTGCTGCGTTCATGAGGCTTGGCACACTTATTAATACGTATAACTAGTTTGTGCAGGCCGAATTTCAGACCTCTAGCTCGTACGGCTCAGCCGTGACGCCCCCACATGTTAGTTTGAGGCCTAGTCAAAAAAGTGCAGCCACTAATGATAAAATATGCCTTGGTTTTAAATTAAGGAGGCATAATTTTAATGGACATGTATAGATTACATTTAGGAGCAGACTGTCTAGTATCAGGAGCACTTTTAATCATTTTCTTAGGTCACTGCTACCTGAAGTTATGGCCTGTCTAATGAGAGGTATGGTGTCTACATTAACTTAACATTGCCGACAATAGCAAATTAAAGAGGTCACTGTAGGCCTTTCGTAAGGGTCACATTCATAAAACTTGGCAGACTTGATCCAGAGCTGATCTACTTTATGCATGCCAAAGGTCAGATGTGTAGGTCATACGGTTCGGCCGTGACGCCCCCTAATGTTGGTTTGAGGCCTTACGTTAGTAAGGTGATAACAGAAACCACATATCACAATTACAGAATTGCTAAGTTAGGCATAATTTTGATGGACATCTATTTGGAGGATTGTACAGTATGCTGTCCAGTTTCAGAAACATTGTTAGTTTGAGGCCTTACGTTAGTAAGATGATACCAGAAACCACACATGATGATTCTGGAATTGCTACGTTCATAGCAATACCTGAAAGACACATAGCAATAAGTGGATTGCTATGTTAGTAAGATGATAACAGAAAAGTCACATCGCAATTCCTGAAGTGCTAAGTTAGTAAGATGATAACAGAAAAGTCACGTCACAGTACCGGAATTGCTAGATTAGTAAGATGATAACAGAAATGTCACGTCGCAGTTCCGGGATTGCTAAGTTAGTAAGATGATACCAGAAAACATGTAATTGCAGTATTGGTAAGTTAGTCTAACTAGAAGTAGTCTAACTACAAGAAAACACACATTACTATTCTGAAATTGAAGGTTAGTCAAATGACAACTTTACCACGAATTAATGCACAAAACCTTTTATTTGAACATTGTGGCAGAAAAACAAATGATACAATTTAAATTGCACGTAAACTAAAATCAAAACCTTAATTGAAAAACTAAATATTTTTTAAAAATTAAAACAGCCACAAACTTTTCAAAATTAAAAGACAAGATTAAAACTAGATAGGCTGATATCTGCTGCTTTTCAAAAACAATCTATTTCAAAAAATTAAACAGCCACTGAAACTAAACATATTTCAAAAAATTTAAACAGCCACAAACTTTTCCAAATTGACATCTGCAGCTTTACAAAGTTCAAAAACATTGAACAATTAAAAAAGTTTCTTTCAAAAATAAACAGCAACTGAAGCGTCCAAATTTTAAATCAAAAATCTGACAAAACATGGCCTGACCTTAGCTGTTTTACACACCATCTTCCCTGAAACAAAAAGTGAAAGGTGGGTTATCAGAAAGGACAACCATAACAGTAACAGAATACTTGTTGGGCTAATTGTGAAGTGCATTACCTTTGCAACAGTCGTATCAGGCTTCTTAGGTTGTACACGGTCATCTCCATTGATTTGCAGAATGACAGCAAGTCTGGACAATTGAGGAGCACTTTATTCATCTGAAAAGACAATATTCTGTTTGGTTACTGTTCATGATCATTGAAAAGATTATACTTACAATTATACTTACAATGTCTGTTGTTATTGTCGTGCTCCAATACTCCTTGTATTTGGTGCGCACCATTTGTTTTAGCTCCTGCGGATACACCAGTTTTCTTCTGTAGATAAGTCTCTGAAATATTACAACAGACAACATGTCTTTCATGACATACATGTGTGTATGCAAAACATTTAAAAATTTATCGAGTGCCTCACCTGTCCTGTGATGTGCTCCACCTGCTTTGGAAGTGGACTCGGACACTGTCACAAGAAACAACAGGTAAGATAACAGAAAACACGTCACAATTCCAAGATTGCTAAGTTCGTAAGATGATACCAGAAAACACATGTCACAAATCCGGCATTGCTAGGTTAGTCCAATGAAACCAGAAAACATTTCGCAATTCCAGCGTTGCTAAATTATTGTAATGATATCGGAAAACATGTTGCAATTGCAAATCTGCTTTTTCCATTGCTAATAAAAAGTATTGTGAGACTTACTTCAGGGTTATCATCCTCTTCATCCTCCTCCTCCTGATCATCTTTATCACCCTGCTTTTCGTTCACCTCCACTTCCTTATTAACCACGGGGCAAATAGCTGGTGACGAAACATATATCTTATTAACATCATTAGCATCTTTACCATCTTTCCACCAACTAACCTATAACTGATATTTACTTTGATCTTCCTCATCAGAAGTCAAGTCATCTGCCAAAATTTGATGAGGCATGTGAAAGCTGCACTCTCCGCTATATGACTGCCCTGGTGTGGGTTTGGTTTGGGATGACATGCTTGTCATCTCTTCATCGGAGGAGCTGAAGACCATCCGGCGTCTATAAGTCAACGGTGTGCTGCTGGCCTGTGGCTGCAGCTGCCCCTTCACCCTCTGTCCCCCCCCCTTTCCAATACCCAGTGCGTCATTAACTAATGCCCGACCCCGCTGGAGTTCATGGAATTCCGGCTCCGCCACATAGAAGCGATCTGCCGTTTCAGTACTGTGGCACATGATCCGTGCCACAAGTCGGCGCTGTTCCTCAGACAAGCTTTTGTGAATCTGTGAAAAAGATGGATAAACAGATAAGATTATAGCTAGTCTTAGTCATACACTAAGGACAGTACTTCGGCTTTAAATTCAGACTCACAAGTCAACACAGTGAAGCGGATCACTGAAACAGAATATCCGGCATTGCTAAGTTACCAGATGATACCAGAAACATCACATATCAATACCTGTATCACTAGGTTAGTAAGATGATACCAGAAAACACACATCACATGCCCGGCATTGCTAAGTTAGTGAAATGATACCAGAAAACACACGTCTCAAACCCGGCATTGCTAGGTTAGTCAGATACCAGAAAACACGTCACAAATCCGGCATTGCTAGGTTAGTCAGATAGCAGAAAACACACGTAAATTCATACTCACACAAGTCGACACAGTTGAGCGGATCGCTGAAACAGAATATGGGCGGGGCATCCCACAACTGGTAGTAGTCTCCATCACTGTCTCAGACAGCTTATTAAGCGGCTGTCCAGATGATGAGAAGAAAAATGTTTCTGGGTTGTAGCAGTACCCTGGTAGCTGAGGCCTAATTTTAATGAAGGCCTCAAGCCATGAGTACTCCCTGTTATTAAGTGCAATATTAGCCCGCCCAAATGAGCCGGAGGTCTTGTGGCTGGAGACCTTTGAGAATGGCACAATGTGTTACTCAGCAGGTGGAAAACAGCAGGTTAATGTAGTCAAAACAAACATGACTTCAATGAAGTTGTTAAACAATTTAAAAGTTTAATTTCACTAAATTTCTGTTTATATAGTGCCTTTCACAACTTAGCTGTCCCAAGGCACTTTACATTGGTGTGTCACAATCCTAAGATGAATACACTATCAATGAATTCTTGGGTACTCACGTGGATCACATATTGATCATCCATGACCTGACACTCCTGGACCTCAATCATTGTCAGGTTTATGAGGACACTCACCCGGTGCCCGGTGCAGGCAAATATGTACATGGCCAATGCGCCTATGGCCTGGTTTTTTCTACTAATATTTGTGGGGTCTTGAGAGAGGTCATCTGTGACCAAAACAGCAAGGTGTTTGCAAGACAATAGCGAGCATCCTTTTACATTACATGAACTAAAATATCTAAAAAAAAATCCAGAAATGACTGATTAGTGGTCATTGTCAACACATCACAGCACACAATGCACAACAAAATGTATCTTCTGCATTTAACCAATATGTGACATCATGACATAGCAGGGATCAGCTAATTCAGTAAATGCAGCCCACTTACCAAGATAATCAGGAATTCGGCTCCGTAGCTCTGTGATGAGCTCACACAGGCGTTCCTTCAAAGGCATCCTCTTTTTTTTTTGATCCTTCACATGCTGCCGGTGCCCTACAATTTTTTTGGATAAGGCAATTCTCTGCAATTTTAAGTTCCTTAGAATGCCTTGTAAGATAGCTTGCCCAAGGCGGACAGATTTTAGCCGTCTGTCAATCAAAAACTGCAAAAATTTGCAAACTGCGGGAAGATAATTTTTACAGGTTGTCACCTGAAATTTCTCTGCCAAACGTTTAAACCAATTATTTATCTTGCTTGGGTCATTTAAATGTTTAAGATGAGCAGCTGCTTGCTCGGTTGTAGAGCCCCACATAAAATTAACAAAGCCCTTCACATATCCAATTTCCTGCTTCACATTTTGTTTTTTTCTTTGTCTCGCCGACATGAAATAGGCTCTCCTTGTATTCTGGCAGTACTACATCTGGAAGAAAGGAACAAAATTAACCTTCTCTAGTGCAGCTATTTAAAATGTGAATAGCAATCTTCAAGTGACAGGTAAAACAAACTGTAACCCTAAAAAAAACTTACCTCACCCTAACCCTAACTGAAATACACAAGAAAGATATTCAGCATCGCCGACAATGCCGTCAACTGCAGAAGGTTAAAATTTGAATTAGAATTTAGTGATCAGTGGTCATTGTCAACACACCACAGCAAAGTGCACAACAACGAAATGTGTCCTCTGCATTTAACCCATACGTGACTTTCGTGACATAGCAGGGGGCAGCTAATACAGCGCCCGGAGAGCAGTGCTTGAGGACGGTACCTTGCTCAGGGTACCTCAGTGGTGACTTGTTGGTGGGGGATTTGAACCTGCAATCTTTCGATTACAAGTGCGCTTCCCTAACCATCAAGCCACCACTGCAAAATGACTGCATAAAATGACTTACCTGCGAGTAAAAGTGTTTTTCTTGCTTCCCTGTTGCCTGGTGTTTCCGGATGCTGTCCCTCACACTCTTCGATTCGGCATTCAAGCTTGTTAATGTGACGCTTCAATTGTTCCATTTCACCATCCTTATCTTTTATTGTCTCTCTATAATTTTGAACTGCTGTTCTTGCAGAGGTACATTTTGTCCGATGAATGAGGAGTTTAAGCTCTTCCCCACTCTTATTGTGCATTAGTCGGAGGTGCTTGTCTAGCCGTTTTAATTTTGTTGCAGCACAATCAGGGATTGGGCAGTCTAATGGACCAGAAAAGCGGCCCGTCTTAGAAGAAACGAGGAGCTTTCGCTCCTAGCTGCTGTTCACATTATGTATGTCACGCAAATGTACCGTAACATTGACATAAGAAACGTGACATATCGGGCATGCCTGCTTTCTGCGAGCCATGTTGTGTCCTTTGGAAAAATAAAAATGCAATTAGATAGAATTAAAATTTTGAGATCAGTGGTCATTGTTAACACACCATAGCAAAGCACACAGTGCACAACAACAAAATGTGTTCTCTGCATTTAACCCATATGTGACTTTCGTGACATAGCAAGGGGCAGCTAAGTCAGCGCCTGGGGAGCAGTGCTTGGGGACGGTACCTTGCTCAGAGTACCTCAGTGGTGACTTGGTGGGGGATTTGAACCTGGAATCTTTCGATTACAAGTGCGCTTCCCTAACCATCAAGCCACCACTGCCCATAGACAAATAGATAGATAGAGACTTATCCTAAAGTACTATAAATACACACATGCAATTTATGTGTTTAATATTATATATGTATATCTTGTACTTAATTTTTTTTTATATATAGATTCACAAGCACTACTGCTTGTGAAGCTAGCACACAAGAATTTCACTCATATGTACTGTACCAGTAACATGATGTGACAATAAAGATTTGAACTTTGAACAATGAAACCAGAAAGCACACATCACAGTTACAAAATTGGTAAGTTAGTCGAATAAAACCAGAAAGCACACATCACAATTCCAAAGTTGCTAATTCAGTCAAATATCAGAAAACAGATGTCGCAATTCCAAAACTGTTAGGTTAGTCTAATGAAACCATACATGGCACACAATTAAACCTAAACAATTAACCCTATGTAGTGAACCAGGGGCCCCTTGCATGGGGGGGCATTTCTTCCCTCTTTGGAATAATTACCTTATAACTTCAGATATAAAAGTCACAGACACATGCCTGATACCTAAAATCAAAGTTGACCCCTTTACAATTGATTGTAGGAAGTTCAATAACGAAATGAATAACCTNGTAAAACCTTTCTTTAGTAGCATTTAGTCTTCTACAATAAGTTTTAAGCCATCTCACTGCTTTTTCATAGTGAAACCGTTAGACTATAATTTTCGAATGTTATTATCGAAAACCGCTGCACCCGTCAAATAACGGTGACTGAAAATTGTTTGATAGGCTAATGAAGATTAAAAACGTGCAGGTACTTATGCATATTATTGCATTTGACTTATAATCAAGTCTATTGATGTTTTTCCAATGCTTAGAAACTTCTAGAAGGTTCGTAATTCGGAAATGCTATGAAGCTTAATGCTAGATAATGTAATTTCGGAAATGCTATAATGTAATTGCAGCAATTTCAGAAATGCTACAATGAAATTACGGCAATGCTATGAAGCTTGACGCTAGATGATGCAATTCTGGAAATGCTATAATGTAATTCCGGCAATGCTATGAAGCTTCATGCATCTTTTCCAGGATAATCATCACCATGGCAGAAAGGACTGACAAAACCAGCGATGAAACTGCGTCAGCTGAGAACACGAAAAATGAAGAGGCTGAAGTAAGTAAAACCAATTTATTGTCACAGATACATACACAGATAAAACTAAAAACATACATAATTAAAGTTTTCGGCAACCATTACAATACCTTAACAATATCTGTGAGATTATGAAAAGGCAAGCTGGTGAGGCATTGCATGCACAGAAAAACACATATACATGTATATTTCTTGACATGTATGTTGTTAATTATAAGTTTGTCTTAATTTGTTGAAGCTACTGGAAGAAAAATTGAAATTAATCCTGGCTGATGTTGAAGTCTGGAATGAAAAATTCAATGAGTTCACTGTAAGAACACTTTCATTTGATTTCATTGGTTGTTCAAAATTAAAAACATGAAGCTGATGAAATACTTACCTTTCAGATCTCCATGCCTGTGCGAGACAATCTTCTCCTGCTAGATATGTTGAATGAGATGAAGATGACCTTAAACAATATGTGTACATTAGTGAAGTCATTCTTTAAGTAAGTTGTATCATAACTTTGAAAAAGGTAATGTGCTACTGCCACTACTATTTACTGTTATGTTTGCTGTTGATTGATGTTTGTCATCTGTCTATTTAAATTTCAGGGCTGAGGATGCATCCGTGGCGACTCCACGAACCGCTCAACGTCGGATGTAATTTAAAATGTTGTTTTTTTTTCTTTTTTAAAAATGTTAAGTTTAATAAAGGCTTGTTGAGTTTCATCAGTGATTGACTTTGTCATTCACGTTAATGACGTGTCGCAAATCCGGAATTGCTAGGTAACAGTTCTGAACACAACCTTAATTAATCTGAACTGCACCATATGGTACCGGAAAAGTCACATAATACCTTAATTGCTACGTTAGTAAGATGATACCAGAAAAGTCACATGACAATACCTGCATTGCTAACTTAATTAGATGGTACCAGAGAAGTCACATCACAGTTCCTGAACTGCTAAGTTAGTAAGATGATAGCAGAAAAGTCACGTCACAATACCTGAAGTGCTAAGTTAGTAGGATGATACCAGAAATGTGACACATCAATACCTGAACTGCTAAGTTAGTGAGATGATACCAGAAAAGTCACATAACAATACCTGGAGTGCTACGTTAGTAAGATGATACCAGAAATGTCACATAACAATACCTGAACTGCTACGTTAGTAAGATGATACCAGAAATGTCACATAACAATACCTGAACTGCTAAGTTAGTAAGGTGATACCAGAAATGTCACATAACAATACCTGAACTGCTACGTTAGTGAGATGATACCAGAAATGTCACATAA